ATTCAAGCCAATTGTTTCTGTGAGTTACGCAGCTTGAATCGAGTTACTTCAAGCTAACGCGGTTGAATGGTTGAACGAAAAACTTTTGTTTCTCCTGTGTTTTTTCCAGGAATATTCTTCACTTCTAGTTGTCTTTATAGCGTGATGCAATTGAATTCAATTTTATTTATCTAGCCCCAAATAACAACAACAAACACCTCAAGGCATTATAGATTTATACAGTGACTATCATTTGCTAACATAACCAGCTTATAATGACAGCCTGAAAGAGTCATGTAAAGATGTGTATCGATACTGCCTTTTAATGCTTTTTCTTGCCACTCTTGATCCTGACTAGATAAAGAATAGTCAAATTGTTTACATTAAAAAAAAACTGAAAATTCGATTTTATAATTGTTCTATAGTAACAAAGCCATTCTGAGTGGGAACATGCCACATTGAAACTCATGAAACACATATCCTAGGCATCCTGAGCTCTTAGCTCAGGAACAGAGGTGGCTTGAATAAGGAACACATGAAACTAATCATATGTAGTATGTGTTTGTATGTAGAAGTAGTAATAAAGGGCATATTAAATTTTGGGCTGACCTTTAATGACTTTCATCCTTAGATATATGCTAAAGTAAATTTTAGCATTAATACAAACCCGGATTCTGCAACTGCCCACAGACCATGTTCAGAGTAACATCTTTCAAGTGTAGAAAAAGTCTAAATACAGTAAATATTGGCTTCACCTGTGTTAGCTGTGTGAGTAGCGAACAGTGCATGTGATGATGTACTTTTTTTTTTACCCTGTTTGTGAGCTTTAGCCGTGAAATCAGTCCCATTCCCCACATGCTGACCTCCAAGTGAAAATACCCCCCAGCCCACTGCTGCATCTACCCAACACTTTAAAGGAGTTTTCATATCTCTGTGTTATCCTGCCTTGTTCCCTGATGACCACACTAAGGGAAGGGGCAGGGAACATAGTGAAAGTGGCTACTGGAATCTTTTGCACAACTTGGCGGTCACAAGAGCATTATAAATCTTTAATGTGAGATGTTAGAGCGCCAAGGAGAGGAAATGTGCTGAAAACATGATTATGGACTCATGGGGAGGAAGAAACCGCTGGCTAGGAGAGAAACAGATAGAGATATCAAGCAAGGGAGCAAGGATAAAAGAATTTTGAAGGGCAAAAGAGGTAAAGAGGGATAACATTTTTTTTTTTTGCAAAGTTTGGTCTGCTTATAGCAAAAACATTATTGCACTGCTTTACCGAGTTGTGATCAGAACTTCTCACAGAGCCATTTAAGTATGACAGGAAACCCAGGAAAAGGATTTCAAAATGACGTCAAGAGCTTTCCTTGTGTTTAGGAAGAGCAAAGTTGATTGCAATGGCGTGTTCTCCTTTGAAGGTGCAACAGTTTCACTTGCAGAGAGTGAAGTGAGCTACAACCCGCATAATCTGACAGTGGGGTAAGCAAAAATATGCTAAACTAGCACATCTATCTAACCATTACAAAGAAAAATTAATCAGCCATAAAAAGGCTTAAACCTCTGTTTGGAATTTGCCTTCCAGGTCACCTCAGTCTAGATGTTATCTTATAGGAGAGAAACTACCCTGAGGTACCCTTGAGCAAGGTACCCTCCCTACACACTGCTCCCTTGGGTTTGGATTGGTAGCTACCCACTGCTTCACTGAGTGAATGGGTTAAATGCAGAGCGTAATTTCAGTACAGGAAATTAATAAAGTATACAAAAAGTAAGTGACCGTCTGATTCATATTTGTTTAGTTTACGAAATAAAACCTAAGAAAATATATTATTTCAAAAGGCGCTGTCTCCATGCTGCGTCTGCTTTAAATAGGTCACAGCAACAAATAATACTTCATTTGGATCTTGTCTTATGTGGTCTAATCAGAGACGTCAAGCGTGCACTGTGCGCCTCCGTTGTGAAGTACAATCCACCAGTCAAACCTGTTTCGTGTGAACTTGAGCTGGAAATTGATTGACTGCCTCACTAATCCAAATCATGCCTGCTCACCTTGAAACAAGTCTAATAACGCAGGTGCATTTTGTCTTCTGAACTTGCAGCAAAAAGGTGATTGTGTTTTTTCTCTAAAATGCCAAATTTTTCAGAGTCTCTCATTCTGCTCAGTCACTATGCAGGGTGGGCATGTGCTGATTGGCGCCACTGTTCTAATAACAAACTTGCTGCATTCCCAGTTTGATTTCCGACATATAATTTAGCTAATAACAGAAGCTGCTACTCCATTAACATGTTTTATTTATTAGTCATGTTTCCTTGCTTTTGCAGTCTAACCAGACAGACATCAACTCTAAATCATTAGACTAATGAGACAATCCAGTCTTGTCAAAACAACACATTCAAGTCTCTTCCTCTGTCTCGTTCCTCTTCCTTTTTTGTCACAGCTTTGATATCAGCCGGCTGCTGCACCAACAACTGTAGAAATGTCAAGCTATGGGACAGGTAAGAATCCCTCTCCACCTTGTTTCTTTTTCCTAAACTTTTTTTGTGTGCGTTAATTAGAATCTCTGAAAGAAGAAGAACAGCTAATGAAGGTCATTGTCTCTTCTTTCCACAAGGGCCCATAATCCTGTAATTAGCTCCTATTATTCTATTTTGCCATACAGTGTGCTGCTTCCTTTAGCTTGAAACCTATTTAGTCGGATGGAGGGATTTACATTAGAAGGATTTACATGAATAAATAATGGACTCTTTCAGTCAGGAGTGTTTGAAATACATACAAAACTATTTGGACTTTATTCTCTTGCTAATCAGTAGGTAATCTGGATCTGAACCCGATCACAACAGATCCTGTGTCATTGCAGGGTCATTCCGTGACTTAGTCTGGTGCACTCCCTCCAGATGAGTAATGTGTTGGCATGCTTGATCTAGCCCAGGTGTAATCACAGTGGGTTTGCTGTGGGACTACAGAGTTAGAGGTGACCCTCTTCTGTCCCCGTATGCCATCCTACATCTTCAATCAGGCCCAGCGGGAGGCCGAGATGGTTGTGTTAATATTTAATGACCGCGAGACAAGACGTACCTCCCCCTAGAGGACAGTTGGGGCCCCCCTTGGCCCCCCTTGTCGTTGTTTAGTACACCAACACACACAAACTGTAACTACAAGCCACATGCGTGCTTATTCCCCCACACATGAACTTCTCTAACATGCATATTAAGGACTGTTTGTCCTTTTTCTTTGCATTCGTTTTTTTTTCAATCCATCACCTTCTACAAAAACATCCGTGACTCAAGTGAAGAAAAGAATAAAGTGTACTTTTTGTCAGAAGATGATTTGCAAGCTCAGAAAAGGCAACAAGGATGTGCTAAGAATGCGGACTGCAGTCAGGCCTTCTGGTCGTCCCTTGGCTCTCCACTGAGGTGGAGACAGACGCAGGCAGGAACAAAGGAATCTGTCACTGATAAGTAACACAAAAACCTGCAGAGATGAACATCTTACTCGCTCAAACTCTCTCTCTTGCTTGCTCTCTGTCCCCCTCTCTCTCTTTCATTCGGTCCCCTCAACAGACTAACAGCTAATAGCTATTTATTCATGCATCTTTTTTTGAGAACATGCAAAGAATAAATGGCTTTGAGAATCAGGGCTCAAATTCCTTTGTTGAAAGCTCACTCACGTTTACAACTGTCGACATTGCAAACTATTGTAAGAAAAGACTGCCTTCAAGGTTAAACAGTGGAAATAAGAAGCTGGTGACCTGTACTTGTCCAACAACAAAATACAGGCAATCGGGCCTTTTTCCACACAACAAATATTGACAGGAAACAAGACTGTGCGTAAACTGTGTGACGATTTTATTCCATTTAACTCTGTCATGTTCATTCTTGCTCACTGTCATGCTGTCATGGCTTACTGGGACTCTTAGATAGAACTGAACCAGCATTATCATTGTTCGAAACATCTGTTTTTCCTAACATAACAAGGAAAACTGCAAATATAGAAATAATTAACATAGCAATATATCTGTTACAGCTCCTATTTATCATTTAAAGCATATCATTTATATATATTTTTAATTAATGTCCTGTTCCGTCACCTGCACACTGAATAGGATTTTGAATTACACATGCTGTAACGCCCAAGCTTGAGATTAGTGAAACACTATCCCATACCACTTGAAAAATCCCTTCTTCTCAGGCAAATGAATGTGTTGCAGTACAGTGAATAAGAAGGATGTTATGTTTGCTGTTTGTTTTTTTTGTTTTTTTTATATTTATGGATTTATATATTAAAGTCAATGTAAAAAAAACAACTTTATTTATCCCCAAGGGGCAATTAAGATAGATGACACCTTGCCGACCATACATACAATACACAAACATCACATTGGGGAGACAGGTCAGGCTATGTAGCACTGGCCGGTTGACCACATGAGCAGTGACCTGAACTGAAACCACAGAAAATGCACAACATGAGGAAAGATGAGGAGAAAAAAAGAACTCCCCCCAAAATAAACTACAAGATTTTGAGAACTTCCAAAATATGAGATACAAAACAGCTAGGACAAGCTACAAAAACACTGCAGACACTTCTGCCCAAACAAACTGGTATACAGTGCGTATATATACTTAGCCCTTAGCGCTCAGGTTTATCAGATTGGTCTGGGATGAAAAATGCCTTCCAAAATCAATCCGGTTGGTTTTTGACATTTGCTTAGGTGTTTCTGTTATTGTGTTTGAGATTTAAAAAGTTTAAAAAGATTTAAAAAGTTAAGATATTCAATAATAAGCTATTACAAACAAAGAACTCTTGAAATGAAGAGTCTCACAACCTAAGCATACCCCAGTCACAGCGAGCACAGTCACCCCTGTGACCTCACACTCACTGATTTCAGATATTTTCCCAAACACACATCATTGTTTCAGTTCGTTTTTATTTGTTCTAAAATGTCGCTCAGTTTGATAAAATGTATGTTTTCAGACCTGCTTTTAGTTTTTAGTTAACTGCAATGGCATGTCTGTCTTTTCCTGTGCAGCTTTGACGCTTCCTCTTGACCCCAACTTGGCGACCCACGCCTCTCAAAGGGAGGACGGGTTGCAGTGAGACAGCCCTCCTGCATCTCAGGCCTTGAGGGACACAAGCACCCCTGGATGCCACCTTCCACAGCTCCGGATGGTCTGTAGTCCACGGCCTCATCCATTTGCTACAGCCGTTAAACAGCCTGCCTCCATGTTTTCATTTCTACATATCGAGAGTTTGAGCAGACAGGGGTGGGAGTTTTTTCTTTTTTTTCTTGAATGATATCAGTTTAGTTGGTAAAAACTTGTGATGACTGCTACACCTAAATGGAAATCTCTCCCGGCCAACCAAGACATGGCTACCTCCTGGAGAGCACCCAGAGAGAAAGTGAGAGAGGCTGTGGATTGGTGTGAGTAGATGAAAAGGACTTTGCACTGTATGTGCTGCTACTCTCTGTTTACAAATGCAGATCACTGGTGGAGAAGCACATAGACCTTTCTATATCCTGCTGTTAAAAAACTTATTTTCCTACACTCTCCCATTTTTTTCTGCTCCCGCCTCCCCCCGCTGTCATCGTTAGAAGTGATCTTCAGTATGTGTAATGAGACTGGTGTAATCTAATGCTCTGTCTCTCAATCTACAAATCCAGATGATCACATGATTGCCATCGTCTCCTCTCTCATTCATACTAAAAATTCAGAACTCTTTCAGCCATTTCAACTGACGGTAAAAATAAGACAAAATTGTATATGTCAAAGATGTTCTAGCAAAGAAAAAAAACACATCCTCTTCCTGTGTCTTAAACCAAGATGGTCAACATTACTAGCTGCTGACAGATGTTCTTATTCTATGAGATGCAATGTTCAGGTGTAATTTTTCTTTTTGTATTATCTTCTTTGCTCCCTCAAAGCGCCTATATTTAAGCTGGGGAGAAGATTATACATTTCTCCATGTTGTTTTTTTTTACAAGTCCAAGTAAAAAGTAGATTATTGGATTAGTTTTCTATATATCTATATATATAAATACTATATGACTATTATTTTTGACTTACTGGTATTAGAACTATTATATGAAAATGCATATGATACAGTATATCAAATAATAAATAGACTTCTTTATCTAAAAGTGGATTGTTGGTTCGATTTTTATTTGTGTGCTGATTGCGTGAGTGAGCTTTGCAGTTAAACGTCAGGTTGGAGTATAAGTTGTTTCACAGCTGCTGTAAATCAAAAGTTAACCCTTTAAACCCTAACCCGTCACCGGTGACGGTTAACATTTTTAGCAAGGGTGGGCAACTCCAGGCCTCGAGGGCCGGTGTCCTGCAGGTTTTAGATCTCACCCTGGGTCAACACACCTGAATCAAATGATTAGTTCATTACCAGGCCTCTGGAGAACTTCAAGACATGTTGAGGAGGCAATTTAGCCATTTAAATCAGCTGTGTTGGATCAAGGTCACATCTAAAACCTGCAGGACACTGGCCCTCGAGGCCTGGAGTTGCCTTCCCCTGGTTTAAAGGGTAAATTAGGTCAGGTTTTAAAGGGTTAAATGGAAAAAATCATTCATCAACATAAATATAAGTTTAAATTAATCAGTCGCTTGCAATACTATGAGCAGCTGCAAGAAATCACATGTTAAACATGATAACCCGAAATGTAGCCACATCTCATTCAGTCAGATGGTAGACAATAGTGTAAAAATGGAAACAATTTCCTATTGAATCACAGTTGCAGTTTGCTCTTCCTTCCTCTGCAGCTATAACCTTTCCTCATATCCTGCAACATCTGCTACACTGCTAAGAATTTCTGTTATAGCTGTGTGCTGGTCAGTGTTTACAGTAAGGGTACGAGTGACACTCAGGTAAAAAAAAACCTTGGTTTTAAATAATTATGTAAGTATTTAATACTGAGTTGCAAATAAATCGTCTAAAAGACAGCTGGGCATTTTCGCGAACGTCAGCTTAACAGAAGAAAGCAATGTGCTCGTTAGGTGCTACACTCAATAGTGCACTGTTCCATATTTGGGGACAGTATGAGAACAAGACAGTATGGGCAAAAGACAGAATGACTGGGATTATCACAGAAAAAATAGATGGTCTGTGTTCATTGTAATAAAGGAAAATGTCAGCATTTGCAGCACTGTCGTTCACTGTTTTAATGTATCCGTGATAGAGTAAGGACAAGAAGGCTCTTAGGCACAGGGGAATAACTTCTTCCGTCTCTGGCTACACAGACAAAGTATTACCAGACTTCTTATTTGATATTAGTCTTGGAGTTATGTATCCAAGTCAAGGTCAAAAAAGGTCAGGTACGGGTATAAATACAGTTGTATTAGACTCTCACTGGGTTGAGCTATTAACAACACTAATAGTGAAAATAATTGACGTTGATCTGGTTTGATATGATTGCTCAGAGTCATTAGGGTTTACTAATATGTCCCAGAAAATCTCTTTAATGAGGGTCTGTCTTTAAATCACATATCTTTACACTGCACATATGGGAAGTCCTGCTAAGGAGATGGAAGGATCTATAACCTCTGATGGAACTGAGTGATTGCCTTATGTAGTAAGTGTTAAAGTGAAAAGGAAAAACATACGATGCAAACAAACAAATACATCAACGTGTGCACATCTGTGTGTGTCTGTGTTAATTTATAAAAGGAAGTGTGTATGTGTGTGTGTGTGTGTGTGTGTTGTTCCAAATACAGTCATCTATGAGGTGTGTGCATTTCAGCGAGCCAGTCAGCAGCAGGTTGATTAGGACACACCCATGCCTGTTCGTCCAGTGTGCGAGCTTTTATTGATTTGTGTGCATCTGTGTATGTGTTCCTATTTCATGATATAAAGCTGCAGGTTATGTGTTTGCGTAAGTGTGTGGGTGAGAGCATGCAGCGCCCTGATCTGCTCTGCTGCATTGCAGCACGTCCTGCCCAACCCGAGGTCGCCGTCGTCCTCCGCCAGGGCATTCTTCCAAGGTCGCAGCAGGTCAATCCTCCCCATCTGCATACCCAGCCACTGCAAGGGTAAATCTATAAACACCACACCAAATCTGTCAGCTGTTAGAGCAATGAGACACCAGTAAGAACTAACACAGAGATCAGACATGTAATCTACCCAGACGACCAGTCAATCAACCAGGAAAAGCTATCAACACAAAATGAACTACTGACACAAACATTTTTATATGCAAACACATGCAGCTGGAGTCAGATACAGTGACACTTTAACTGGGAAGGTGTTAGCCTAGTGGAATTTAAACAGGGGAGTGCTTGGTTTCTACAGTGCTACTGTATGTGTGTATTCTGCTTTAGACTTGGCAGAATTACTTGCAGAGATAATATGACTTCTACATGACTAGATACTAGATTATATAAGGTTGAAACTCTGTTTAAAATTTTCTGGGAAGTGTACAGAATTTATTATTTATAAGTCAAATGAAAAAATTAGATTGTTCATTTGTTACTGACAGAGATCTGACAGAGTAAGATTCATAGCTGTGTTTTGACCCTACAAACCTTTCTACTCACTGTAAAAAGTACATTTATTACTATGTCTTGTATTGGGCAAATTTCCCCCATGCTCCACATTAAGCTCTTTTATATTAAAAGACTGGTATTACTGAGAGCCAGAAGTAGGCTGTCTGGATGAGGATTCAGTAAAGAGTTTTAGGATAGACAAAAAGCTTTTGCAGCCATGCTTAGAACTTTGGGAAATCCATCCATGCGACTTATGCTGTCATTACTGACTTAACACTAATAGTAACACATATCACAACCATGCATGCTTATTTAAGCCATCTGGGCAAAAAGTAGAAAAAAAAAACTTTAATCGGAAAATGTCATAGCAGCCTATATGCCATTTAATTGTTTATATTCTTTATTGTTTATATTCTGAACTTTTTGTGTTCATAAAGGCAGTTTGGGGTTGTGTTTCGTTTCATATCATCCCTGTACTCGCAAAACTTAGTCCAACTTTAACTTCAATACCATAAATTATTTTGGTAACAGATAAATAAAGAGCGTGAATTCACTAGAACTGAAAATGTTATATGTACCAGTGGTATTTATCCTCAAAACATTCATTAAATTGGCCTAATAATTTTTAATTTACAAGTATGCATCTTTATGTTTAGCTAGGTAAATGTGAAATGATTTTAGCGATTTGCAGAAATGTGAAAGCATACAGGGAAATACAGTATTTAAGGAAAAACAGAATCTTATCCATTTCAACCTTGAAAGTCAATATTTAGTATGACCACATTTATTTTTCAAGGCAGCCAGAACTTTGGTGACCTTGTAATGTTTTAAGTAGTGTTGAGAAAAAGTTCTCCAGGCTTCTTAAAGGACACTGCAAAGCTCTTCTTTGGATGTTGGCTGCCTTTTGTTTTATTTTCAGTTAATATGAATCCACATACTGATAACAGGCTAAACCAAAACTTTTCAACTTGGATTCATTCATAACTTCATAAAACCTGTTGCCACTGAAACACAGATAGCTCAAACAAACTAATTTGGTATGTAGAAATGTGTTGAGATGGGTGGGCTATAACTATCTGACGCTCAAACACAGTATGACAGTATCCTGTGAGTCAACTGGTAAAAAAGATAATTAAATGGAGAACAATAACAGAAATTAACCAGCATGCTAACATATTAGCATGCTAACATATTAGCAATATGTTAGCATGCTGATGGGCAAATTTGTAGGTTGTAGCTAAAAAAAAAAAAGCTTGCCAAAAAATGCTTTTTGAGATTGCATTTCAGCAACTGTAATATGTCTTTTCCTCCCTACAAGTACAACCAAAACCCACTTCAATGTGACTGATATCTAGAACTGTTTATAGCGATAAAGCAAGCAAACGGGAAAGGTGTAAGTTCTGCTTTTCTGAGGAAGACTAATCAGACATAAAACAAATCTTGTGCTCAGCCCCTTGTTCACCTCACCACAGTGAATCATCAGATTTCTTCTCTGAAGTATTTTTCTACAACCTCCTAAACAATGTTTATATAAGCCCTTGCCTATCAATTAAAAACACACCAACAAAGGATTCTGGCTGAAATATATGACATCAAGTCCTTTTCTGCTGTTTTTTTTTTCCTATTAGTGCATTGAAAGCAAAAAGTATCACAAGATGAAGAGTGAGAGACAAGATTCTTCAGGTGACAGCAAACGAACCCTCATTCGGACCATGCATCTCACCAAGTGTGACTTTGGGGAGCTGTTTGACAAGGAGTGGCTTGTTGTACAAATACTCAGCCTCAGCTCATATGCCAGGATGTTTGGGGTTTTATTACATTTTTGCAGCAGAAGGATTTCAATATCAGGATATCAATGATTTATCATCTAGATACAGCAGAAACAAACAAATAGATGGCTTCTATGATTTCGTGTAACACGGCAAACTGTCAAATTTCTCCTGCATGAAAGAAACTTGTTTGCTTATGTAGGTGGTTGGTGTCCCAGCGAGCACCTTAGTATAAAATGTAAAATCTGTCAATAATAATAATGCATGCTCTGCACACTCAAAGAAACATCCTCACTGATATGATTAAGTACACAAATGTTATTTTCATTTCATCACCATATCTGTGATTCACAAAATTACCATGTTCTGTCAGCATAAACACTTCTTGAATATTTGTGCCTGTGTTTGCATATTAAGTGAGGAAATAAAGTGCTTTGTCTGCATTTTTAAGGCGATCATAAAAAGAGAAATGCTTCACAGTGAATGCAGCTTTACGAAAAAGCTTGTTTAACTTCCCACTCCTTGTAGGTCACCATCATAAGCAAGACAATGAAGTCGATGCTACATACGTCTTAGACTCGTTTGCTAACGATCCATCTCTAGGACAATGGAGCTTAATTACGTCCTCTAATGACTTCACACACAAAGGCTAATGGCCAACATAGATAACAGATCTGTCATTACCACTGCATATATCTTGGTTGGAAGCTTCATTGTAAGGACACTCGCCAAATTTATCTGGGTCCTACAGCGAGAATGACTAATAGGTGTGTTTAAAATCCACTTTTTACCAAATTTAATTATTGACAAACTG